GGCACCTTTCTTCCCATCTGTCCTTATCCCATTTGCACTCTTGGAGCATATTATCCCAGTTGTGCGACCATTCCTGTTGTCTGGTTACCAACTCTTTGTGGGTAGCTTCAATGAGAGTCAGTTGTTCTGAGAGGTATACTTTATCATCATTAGCCTCAGCCAATGCTTGGTGGTGTGCCTTCTCCATCTCTTCCATTATGGCCTTTAACTGATTTTCCCTCTCGAGTGTTTTATCTAGAGCTGCCTGATATTCCTTCATGGTGGCCCATGCATGGTTCTCTTCATTCTTGGCGTCCTGAGAAATGGCTTGTAGCTTTTCAGCTTTTACTTCCAAAACCTGGATATCCATTTGCGCCGTATGCAAGGCTCGACTTCGGATCTTCAATTGATGGTTCAGATCAGATATTTGCTTATCTTTCTCTTCATTAGCACTGATCAGCTTAGCTATCTTTTCATCTTTATTCTTCACAGCTCGAAGTAGGCTATACTTTTCAGATGTAGAGCACATGTTGGCATAGTCCCTCTTAAGACTAATTTCTTCTTTTTTCTGAGCATCTATAATCTTGTAGAGTTTCTCGATAGTCAGTTCATGCTTTTCTTTCTGATCCCGAGTCTCTTCCAGCTTGGCCCCTAACACTTTGATCTGCCCGGTCAGTAATAGTTCAGTTTCAGACGGACCGGCCGGTTTTGGTGGAATGTCAGCATCAGGGATTGTTTTTCCTTTTCTCCTCTCATTCCGCCAATATTTGTATTCATCAGTATAGAAAGCCTTGCGCTCCCCCAACTCATGCATCCCGGAGATATGAATGCGCTTCAATGAATACCTCACTGCATCTAATGTTTTGTCAGTCGCTTCTATGTCTTTGTACCATATCACAAACCCTTGTAATTGTTCTTCACGGACTGGGGTCATACCCCACTTCATTTGGCCCAGTACTAAAGCAGGAGTGAAAGTAAGACATCCCCTAGGACCCATTAGGACCATGTTGGAGTAATCCCCACATGAGTACATTATCATATCATGTTTGTCATATATGTTGCATTTAGTACCGAAGTTCTTAGGGGTAACCTCCCTAAACAACTTTTCCCATTCAGACAACATCATTGGTTTGACAAAGGTATTCCGGAACCTGCGAAGTGGGTTTTGGCTCCAATCTGGGTATTGGTGATGCTTGAACATTGTCATCATCCACACATATAGCAGTTGTACACAACATCGGATCTTGGGAATACTCTTTTCATGGCTTTTCTGAAATGCAAGGAGAGTATCCGATAATATGGCTGGGACTGGATTCACTCCAAACTTTCTGAACTTATACAGAACATCAATGGCACCCTGATCCACCATATCATTAACAAAAGGGAACAGAGTTTTACCGTATATGGCTAATGCTAGTGCTGGCTTGAACATTTCCCAATCTCCCTGTTTCACTACCTGGTCGAGATGTTTTCTCAGGAAACTCCACTTTAAACCATAATAGGGTCCTTGCTTGATTATATTGGAGGGTGCCGGGGCCACACCTATTAGTTCTTTGATGATATCTTCATTTGCATCTTGGGTGCCTGTGAATAAGTATACTCTCAATCGGTTGGACAAAGGAATGTCTAGAAGGACTTCATATTCCTCGATAGTTGGAGAGGCATCTACATTTGGGAACTCGAAAATTCGCAAGATTGGGCTCCAATATTTTGCCATTGCTCCCATAACTCTTAAGGCATCAGCATCGATGGGGACGAGGATAAGGTCTAACAATTTTCCATACTCTTTTGCGAACTGATCTTTGACTTCCTTCGGAATCTTGGGGACAAGCTCCACCAAATAACTCACATCAATCATTTGCAACTCAAACTTCACTTTGTTTTTCATGGTTGGAGTGTTGTTATGATCTGTAACTTGAGAACTAGTCATCGTGTCTTACTATACCAATAACCTCTCGGAATCAAGTAATCTGAAGAAAAAAATAAAAAATAAAAAAAATAAAAATGTTAAATGTTTGGATGATATGTATGGATGATATGCATGAGCATGATGTATGTCCCTTAGGTCGTAACCTTATTTGGGATGATAAGGACATCAAAGTGTGAAGAGATCTTTGTGTCACTTATACATGAATGGTATGCTTTTCTAAATTAAAGATGATTAATTTCGAAATATGAAACAATAATAAATGTTCCGCTTCCCGTGTCTTACGTTGGTAATTCCTACAGGGTTTTCGGAATTTCTAGAGATGACAGCCCTAGAGCGAGGAACTAGATTTCACTAAAGTGAATTCGAGAAAAGAAGTTTTAGACTTCTAGGTTACCAGATTGCATCCAATCCCGAAAGAAAGGAAACCCAAAATATTGCAGGTTATAAACAGGAGAAGTCTAGCCCCTCAAGCGTATAACTCACAACATTTGGTAACAATCTGGGTGGTCCATCATGCTAATGCCAGTGAGATAAAATCTAACACCAGGCAGAGCGGATGTTCCCCTTATTGCAAACTTACTCTCTAACACCCGGGTCTAGGGCATATGTGTGTGCAAAACTCAAGTGAACCGTGTTGGTGTGTGAGGAAGCGACAAACCTTTCGTACAAAGAATTAACTCTCATCCCAAAGCTGCAAAGAAGGTTAAATACAAGCTCATGGATAATTAAATAACAACATATTATTCTAAAAAATAAGACCCAAAAAAAAAGAAGAGAAAAAAAAGGGTATTTTAGTCCATGTAATTAGCGGGTCTGGGCCTGACTCTCTTATGGGTTGTCCCCAGCGGAGTCGCCAGCTGTCGCAGGGCCGGTCTTCCAGCCGAAAATCGGGTCGCGACACAAGCCAATGCCCGTGTTACACCTTGCATCTCTATCAATGCCCGTGTTACACCTTGCATCAAAGCCATACCCATGTTACACCCTGCATCAAAGTCAGCCATCGCCTATGTGCTTTACTCAACCCTTGAGTCCTTCTCTCCACCTTGATCCCAATTGAATACATGGACTTCTAGGATTCTGGATCAACACATATCGCCCCCACCATAGTTTCGCCATGTTTTCTTCTCTTTCAACTCATCTCCTTTATCCTTGCATAGTACCTTTGACGCACCTTATCTAACCAACATGCATTCACCCTCTTTTGCCATTATCTAGCACCTGGGTTAAGAGTCATCTACCAATTGGCTCTGATACCAATTGTTGGTGCAACGGAAGCGATCGTTGCACAACGTTGGTCACAAAAAAATCAAATAATGGATAGAATAAATAGAAGAGAAGAAACAAAGAATTTGGTAACGAGGTTCAGCCAATTGTGTCTACGTCCCCGGGAGCGCTAAGCGGCTACCAAGATATTATTAGAGAATAAGGATTACAAACTCTATCACACCCATGGGTCCAACTGCCAATGGGGTGTTTCTATTTGGTGCTTATATCTGGTGCACATTACAACAAGGGACCTGAGTCCAATATATAATATTGGTTACTTTACTCTATTCCAATACTAGGCTATGTGGGACTAATCTAGTAACAAATTTCAAGAATCCCAACACGTATTATCCAACAGCTTAAATATTCCATATTATCCATCAGCTTAAATATTCCCTGCAGTATTTTATTCCCCACAAAGGGAGCCTCCCGCGACTCGAACCCGTGACCTCAGGGACAAATAGTCACGGGTTCAATGCCCTAAAATAAAAAATCAACTACAAAACCAAATTTTACAAAGTCCCTTTTGATATCATCAAAAATAAAATAAAAAAAATACAATCCAAGTCAATGTGATATAGGGGAGAGATAACAATTTAAGTGCAAAGGTCATAAGTTAAAGTAAAACAAAGTTGTTCACAGGTAGATTAAGGCTTCATTTGGTTGTAGGAAGAAAATAAGAAGAGAGAAATATGTGAGAGAGAAAATGAAAAGATAGAAATAGATGAGAAATAGAGTGAATTTTAGTGTTGTTTGGTTGTATGGAAAAAGAAGAAAAAGAAATGAGTGTTTCTTCCTCACTCTTCCCTGAACAATGATTTGTCATCCAAAATCATGTTTCAAATCATGTCCCGGATTAATGAAAACATTCATGTCAATTAAAAAATTATAATATTTATTATTTTTTATTTTTTTGCTTCAATATCATTGTCGTGGGATATGATTTGAGACACAGTTTGAGACAACAGATCTTGGTCTATCTTCTCCTCTCATTTTCTCATCACTTGGGAGGAGAAACAAATTTGATGGGTCCCACTCCTTTTTCCTTCTCTCCCTTCAAACTTCCCCTAAACCAAAGGGGAAAAAAACTCTATTTCTCCCCAACTTCTCTAATTTCATTCTCTTTCTCTTCTTTTTCTACTCTACCAAATGAAGGCTAAAGGTACGCAATTAAAACAATAAATAGAGTAACATTATAACTGAAATTGTTAAACAAATATAGGTTTCCTAATCTTAAACATGAAAATACTAAAAGATCTTAGATTCATTATTGTCCATTGATGTGGTCATAGACAATGACAAACAACACCAAGAACTTCAAGGCATAGGTGGACCCATGACATAGCCAACAATAAGAAGAGTCAAAGTGACAATACATCAAGTCGTGACAACCCTAATTGTTTCTCAATCGAATGAAGATAACTTGGAGTCTAGAGTATTTATTTGAATTGAGAAGTTAAGGGAGCTAGGTTAAACGAGTGGTGGGTCCACTTAAGTCGCAAACGTGTCCTTAGGGACTTTATGTGGAACAAGATAATTATTTCTTTCTTACAATTTGCACTTTCATTAATGGGGTTGTTTTCTTGCCTAGTTCAACTGCCTACAAATGTAATTTCATTTTGATGAATGAATAAATATGCAATTATATCTTAACCATATTTCTTAGTGCATATTGTGAGGAGTGTTCTCCTTGGTTCTTAGTCGAACCTATTCAGGTACTTATCGTCAGGCTAATGACCCTTTGTGTCATCCTGTAATTGTAATAAATAAAATAAATAAGAATTCGAATCGAATTCTTATTTATTTTATTTATTAGTTTAATGTTTACTAAAAAAATATAACATTTTTATCGAGTCTTTCCATATCGACGATTGACTAAAAATAGGTTATTATGATTTCGAGTAAGCCGCTATGGTGAAATTGGTAGACACGCTGCTCTTAGGAAGCAGTGCTAGAGCATCTCGGTTCGAGTCCGAGTGGCGGCATGGCATTTGATCTTCGAAAAGAGTAAGTCCTATAACAAATTCAATTCCCAATTTATATTCTATTCCTAGTATTCAGACCTTTCTTTGTTTTTATTTTATTTTTATGATATTTTCAACCTTAGAGCATATATTAACTCATATATCGTTTTCGGTCGTATCCATTGTAATTTCAATTCATTTGATAACTTTATTAGTAAATGAAATCGTAGGGTTATATGATTCGTCCGAAAAGGGCATGATAATAACTTTTTTCTGTATAACGGGATTGTTAGTTACTCGTTGGATTTTTTCTAGCCATTACTGCTAGTTTATCAACCATCCTTGGTTGTGACACCATTCAAGTTCTTCATTTCCATTTATTACCATCCACAAATATATTTTCAACCTTTGTATTTATGTTATTGAATGTTATTTAAGTTGTCATCCTTCACTTATAAACATCCAAGTACATAAGGTTTCCAATAAAATGGTCATTGAACAAGGATCTTGATATGACCCTATAAAGGCCTACATCTTTTTTCCAAGGGTTTGTCACTTATTTGGGCAACTCATTCGGAAGCATGATGATTTTTAGTCCCATCTTTCAAGAAGAGAAAGCCAAAAGTCAGGAAACCATGGCCACAAGTATTGGACAACCTACTTTCCAGAATTCTCATCATGAGCACTTGGATTTTAACAACTGAAGTCAGACAGAAAGGGAAACTAAATTTATGGCTAATGAGCATAAATACAAAAAAATAAATCACATTCACCACTACCAAATCCCACATTCCCAAGCCTCATACTCATATTGAATGTCGTATGCGCACAACACCCATCAATACCATACACCCACATATTTCCTTAGACTTCGGCCAAACGCAAACCAAATACAATCCCCTCAATAATCCCAAATCACTTGACATACTTTAATCTCATTCCAATAACTTATGATTAACTCTTCGCTCAACTCTTGAGACATGACTTTATTGACTTCTATGTAAGGAAAGGTTTTCAAGCCACCATATCCCAAATGATATGGTCTTGCACCTATATGTGAGTATTACTACAACATCACACAATATTTGACCAAAAAATATCATATTCACAAGTACAAGGTCAAGAATTGATAGATTCTCAGTGGCTTGACTTTAAGCAAGAAATAGAATATTGATGAAAACCCCCAACCCAACCATGATGATCAAGAGAAGTGATATGGTGGTACTCTTCCCATGATCTTTGGATAATTAAATAATGAGCATATTTATGTTTTGAAATCCCTACTACTCCCCTAAGGCTTCAGGGTCACTAAGTAATTTGGCACCTATGTTTTCATTTCGAGAATAACAATTGATTTTCCAATGCATATATTTCTAACAAGTATAAATTAATGTATTGATCATGCAAATTATCATCACATACTTCATTTTACAAATCACATTCTCCCAAAAAAAAGAAAAGGAGATAAAATTAATTCATGCATTAGTATGAGATTTTTTATTCAAAAATTAAAATGATATGGAGGATGATGCAAAGATAAGATCCAAAGTGGTGAGGATCATTAGACGTATTCTTTCTGATGACATAAGGCTTCTTTGTAATTCCCAAATACAGAGAATATATCCATAGTCACTCTATTTGAGCCTAAACATTATTAAAGGAGATTTTTTATGAATTACCTCCTAGCAAACAATAACTTAGGGAGGGCAGTTTTCAATTGTTTTCTTGAAACTCAATTTTTAAGAAACAAATATCCTCTTTTACATCATACACTATTTCCCTATTTAACCAAGGGATAAAGAATCAAAAGCAAGAAAAATTAAAATGTTTCGCGGTCAAAGTGCAGAAGAAAGAAATAAGTAACAAAAAAATTATACAAAAAGCTGATTGAGGGTAAACATAATGCTATATTAATGACCACCAAAGGAACTATACATGTCTTTATTGGGGAGGATTAACACCTTCATATTATGCCTTCATCCATAAAACCATAAATTACTTTTAATTGTTGAATATATCATGTTAAAAAAATTGTTGGAAATTGGATAAAGGAGAAAGAAGAAAAAGTGGGCATGGGAAACATTGATTTTAGTCTTATAATTTATCTTAGAAGCCCTTAGTTAAGTGAATATACAAGCTTAAAATAACTTTTCAGGCATTTGATTTTCCCAAAATTACATACTAGGATAGAGAAATACTACTCCATTAAATCCAATAAAATTTTGATAAAAATATCTCAACTTTAATACATATGATTACAATTCTTACTCATCATCACATCACCATTCAGAGTCCGAAAAATTCCAAATTTATATGATCATTATTTTTAGTATTTATTTTAAAGAGTAGTGCATGGAGTAAACCCCCAAAAGGAGAAATAAAGGAGAGTAATGATGGAAGCAATATCAAACTGAGGTAGTTTTGAAGTGATTTTATCCAAGGCTACATGGATTAGTCCTATAAGAGTAACATGAGTAGAATGATGGCTTCCAACATATCAAACAAGGGCGATTTAATGGGTTGATCTCGTTTTTCAAGTGGAAAGCATCAAGAATCCCAAAATTAGGGCAATGTTGAAATCGATGATCAATGACCAATCAAAACAATCCATCAACCACACATAGGAAAGATCTTATATTATCACTTTCCAAAGACCTATTTTAAGAGTATATTTGAGGGTGACTTACACTTAGGTACACTTAAGAATGTTATGCTTGAGGGTGTTGTAAAACAAAAAAGAAAAGAAAATAGAGAGACAAAAAGGATGTTGGTGGGGCTAGATGCAAGATCTCACAAGTGTGCTTAGTTAGGGCCCACTTGGAAATGTTGGTTCATTAATTGTGGTTGTACAAAACACATGACTTATGATCGAGAGCTCTTTCCAAAGTCAGAATTGGAAATGGGACATATATTGCAGCAAAATGAAAAGGAACATTGGCAATTTAAGGATACACAAGTTTGAAATTAATTCATGGTGTTTTTAAGTTCCTAAAATTAATCAAAACTTGTTAAGTGTTCTTCAGTTACTAGGAAAACACTATAAGGTTTTGTTTGAAGATAAATATTACACAATGAAAGACTCAGAAGGCGGATAGGTGATCAAAGTTCAAATGAAAGGCAAAAGCTTTGCCTTGGATTTGATGAAATAATATAAGGATGTAGTACACAAAGAAGACACAAATGCAATGCTTTGACACAAATGATTAGGCCATTTTCACCATGACCCTCTAATCTCCATGAAGAAGTGCAATCTAATTAATGAGTTTTTTTTAGAGAAAAAGCCTCCTACATGCATTGTGTGCTAATATGGGAATCAAACAAATTGATACACATATATGTTAAACGGCCTATAAGAAAACCATCATTGAATGATAGAAAATATTATATTGTTTTTATTGATGATCACAAAAGAATGTGTTGACATCTTTGTGAAATTCAAATCTTGGATTAAAACTCAAAGCATGTGCAAGATGTAGGTGATCAGGTCTGATAATGAAACTGAATACACCTCTTAAAAGTTTAACAAATTTTGTACAAATGAAGGCATTGAACACCAATTGATAGCAACTTATACTCCTCAATAAAATGGTGTTGCTGAAAGTAAAAATAGAACAATTACGGAGATGGTTAGGTGCTTCCTTCATCATAAAGGGCTCCCAAAGAATTTTTGGACAGAGGTTGTAAATACATCAGTTTTTCTCTTAAATAGATTACCATCAAATGCTTTATAAAAAATCACGCCATTTGAAGAATGGAATGGCTTCATACCCAAATTCATTAATTTAAAGACATTTGGTTGCTTGTGCTTCTCTTACATTCCTTAGGTTAAGAGGGTCAAGTTGGAAAAGAAATCAGAACATGGGATCTTTGTAGACTATATTTGAATATCAAAGGCCTATAGGACTTACTTAACACAAATCAACAGAGTAATTATCAATAGAGATGTGTAATTAATTGATTTAGAGAGCTAGAACTAGGAGGAAGATAAGTAGTTGAAGTTTCAGGAGGAGAATGAAAGCATAAATGATGAACCTATCAAAAGTGCAATGTTTTTGTGATAGAGCTCACGGGATATGAAGAAGTTGCAATTGACTAGAAATGGATAGATGCAATAAAGAAGGAACTCATGATGATTGAAGAAAAAAAGCAGACATGGGAGTTGGTGGAGAAACCCAAATACTAGAAGGTTATAGGTGTCAAATGGGTTGACATGACCTAGTTCAATCTTAATGTTTGCCTCAGTTGTTAGGTTGGATACCATAAGTATGTTGTTGGAACTTGCTACACAAAATGGTTGGTTCATATACCAAATGGATGTCAAATTAGCTTTCTTGAATATATACTTGAATGAAGAATGTTTTTTGGAACAATGAGAAGGTTTTTTTACATAAAGGGTAAGAGGATAAGGTATATAGGTTGAACAAGGCACTATATGATGTAAAATAAGCACTAAAATCTTGGTACAATCGAATTAATGCAACTTGGTAAACTTAAGAATTTTAAATAGTCCAAGTGAATTTACCTTATATGTCAAATGGTTGATGATAAATACTTGTGGTATCTCTTTATGTTGATGACCACTTTGTTACAGGAAGTCATAAGGAGTTGATTGACAAGTTCAAAGGAAAAATGAACGATGCTTTTGAAATGACAGACCTTAGAAGAATGACATTTAATCTTTGTATGCAGGTGCATGAAAAGCAAAATGAAATATTTATGTTCCAAAAATAATATGCAGGGGAGGTACTCAAAAAATTCAATATAGAAGAATGCAAATCAACTCAAACTCCAACGAATCAAAAGGATAAGTTTAAAAAAAAGGAAAGTGCTGAAAAAGTTGATGAAAGGTTGTATAGAAGCTTAATATCCATGCATAAAGTTTGTTATCTAAGGTATATGCATTGTGCTAGTGAAATTCATTTCCATTGAGCAAAAAGATTTTCAGATATGTTAAAGGCACAATAGATTATGAAATAAGGTTCAATCATGTCAAGAATTTTAGTCTTCAAGGTTATTTTGATA